CAACACCCACACCCTAAGTTAACGTGCTGCATGACCCAGTGTCAAGAAATAGTTCGAGAAGACCGGACAGCTCGTCAACTGCACTGGCTAACCATTATCCAGGAATACGATCCGCAAATCTATTAACATCCAGGTTCCCAATTACTGCTGGGTAGACGGAGGCAAATGGCATAAAGAAATTTGCCCATAGTTTCAGCCTGTCCGGGGATCGAGCCCGGGTCCGCTCAATAAGAGTAAACAATAGTTGGCAGGCAAAGATTAAAGGAAGGGAGACGCGTATTTCGGTGAGTTCATTGTTTTATTATCTTGTGCACATTATGTAACCGTCTACAATGGGATACAATTACTGTGCAGCTATAATTTTTTTAACAGACTAACAACACCAAAAGGAACAGAAACATACGTACATCAATGTTGACTGTACAGTCGTGAACAGAAGTCCTGTCGCCCCTTGTGCTGCTCCACGAACCCTGAGATTCAGACTCATGAACCCGAAGCAGTAGACACTGGTGCATTATTCTGCCCATAAATGCTTCGGATTCATGAGTCTGAATCTCAGGGTTCGTGAGCAGCAGAAGGGGCGACAGGACTTCTGTTCACGAGTGTACATCAGTTTTTATGTGTTCTTTACTTAATGCATTTAGTATTAATACCGATTCACTCTTCAGAATTGCTAGTTAACATGAGAATATCAATAGGATATATAAATTAAGCAGAATACTGGTGTACTGTCGAAAAATATAGGGCTGGAAATTTAAAGTTTGGGGTAAATATTCGTTTTAGGACCGCCCACGACTTTTTTGAGGAAATTATGTTTTTCCTTTATTATTCGATGTGTTTTGAATGAATTTCTCATTTATTTCTTGGGAAAATTGCCTATTTACCATTGTTATATACAGTACCTGCACTGACTAAGCATATCGGAAACTGTATACTCCAACGACCAACGTGCACTGTGTGACTGCATTATATACTTTAATAAAAACGTTGGTCATTAATAATCTAGCGAGCACAAAATAAGATGTAAAAAAGTAGTGTTACTATATGGTGTAAAACTGGTGTAAGCTGTAGCTGCCACCACCACTCTTACTGAAAAACCTAAGGGAGTAGGCATATATTATCTTTTTATGCAAAATAATCAATGTGTTGCTTTGAGACATTATTCCTAGATATCAAAATTTGGATGTCAATAACCTAAAGACTACAGTATATATATATATATATATATATATATATATATATATATATATATATATATATATATATATATATATATATATATATATATATATATATACTAATTACACAGCCTTAGGAACTTCGTGTTTTCTTCTTTCCTTGTGGTTATCATATATACCTGGATCACAGCACAGTGATTTACTTGCATATATATATATATATATATATATATATATATATATATATATATATATATATATATATATATATATATATCACCAGTCCATGTAGCATGCGGATTTCCATATACAAACAATACTTCATTAGTCGGGAATCGAACCCAGGACCTTTGCATGTTAACAGGGGTCGCTACCACCACGCCACAAGGACAACAAAGCAATCATAGGCTTTGTTATATTCCACACAAAGCTTGTTAAACGCCGTGAACCTCCATTGTGGTTGCCCGTGCCACCTATGTGTTCAGAGTAGTATTTTACTGATTCAAGCTAGTAAACACGAGGCCACATATGGAAGTCCATATTTGGAAGTCCGCGTGCTATATGGACTGATGCTATATATGTGGCCTCGTGTTTACTAGCTGGAATCAGTAAAATACTACTCTGACCACATAGGTGGCACGGGCAACCACAACGGACGTTCACGGCGTTTAACAAGCACGGTGAACAAGCTTTGTGTGGAATATAACAAAGCCTTGGATTGCTTTCGTTGTCTTTGTGGCGTGGTGGTAGCTACCCCAGTTTACACGCAGAGGTCCAGGGTTCGATTCCCGACTAATGAGGTATTATATATATATATATATATATATATATATATATATATATATTGTATTTACTGAATAATCTAGTATTATCACACGACCAGGAAAGGTGCAATGCGCTTAACTGTATTTATACGTTACAAAGGGTTAAAAGAAAATCAACATTGAATGAACTATACTCCAAGAGTACAGACTCCTTGACTTAGCTCTCTACCAATTCTTCCATTAATAATACCCAGGCTGGCGTATTTGAGGCACCCCCTCCCCATGATAGGGCCTGCCTATGGGAGTCACGAACGACCTGAGTCTGGGGATGCTTACGACAAGGACTTGGGGTTTTAGGACGAGGGATTGTGAAAAACTATATTTTGGTCCTGAAAAATGAAAATAAAACTTGGAGTTAATTGCAACTGAGTTTGAATACAAAACAGATGGTGCCACGATCACTGCTCGCCAAGAGAGACCTAAGTATAGCCTGTGTGATTTACAAGAGGGAGTCGAGAAAGAATAACTTTTGAATATAAGCTTCGGGTCCGAGAGCCTCTTTTGCTACATCCTAATTTGTGTGCATGTCATTACAGCTCGTGATTGCTTCAAGGTATAATGGTGCACTATAGTAATAAGCTATAAATGTTTGCAGCTAACCCGCGTCTGGCCATGAGAGGGTTGTTTCAGGATACGCCCGTCGGGAACTGCGGGCGAGGAAAACTTATATAAGAGATTTTGAATCCAATGTAAATTCAGCTTGGGCACTAAGAATTCCCTCTTCAACCTGGAAAACTAAACTTCCTTGTATACTCGTCCACCTGGACAAATGCAAATTGAAATATATGTTGAACAAAATATGTAATAAATCAATTAGTATTACTGTATATCATAAAGTATTTTCCCACAGTGTTGTCATACCTCATCAGGAAACCAATCATATTATAATGAATGAAAGACCTTATCTATACCTTTGATAATTTATACTTACACAAGTACAAAGTCCACCACCATCACTACTTCTCCACCTCGACTGACCTTGAATATAAAATCCAATTCCGCCGATCAGCGTCTTGACTTACTTTCTTGTGTTGTGCTCTCTTTAGTATTGTTGAAATATTCCCAATATTTTTATTTGTTTTAGAAATGAATAATCTTGTTTTCTGAAAACTCAGACAATACAGAGAACTGTCAGAACTAACTTGTTGAGAATAAATGTTGTGAACTCATGCAATAAACTACCAGTTGATGTTGCAACAGCACCAAGTGTGAATACTTCAGGTACTGAACTGGACAGTACATTCAAGAGCCTGCCACAGTCCGGGCTAGACCAACACGCATTAACTTATACTCTCGCACACATTCACGTTTGAGCATATTTATCATAATAAAACACAAATGTCTGAGTAATTTTGGAAAGAAACTGAACCGACTCACGTTTGTATCCCCATTCACTCTTCTGTTGAACGCTGGTAGATAGAGAATAATCTTATTGTAGTGAGAGCCATTCAGTCGACACCAACAGACCTTCTTGTTTTGTTTCAGTTGTCTTACTTAACTGAAGAGAAGAGCATCTACCATCTGTTTAAATTGCCTTTTGTTATTTTATTTTCGCTTTTAGTTGTCTCCTCATTCTTCTGGCTAAAGCTTAACCCTCCTATGATCCTAACTTATTTATACGCCAAGTTGAAAACCACGTGATCATACAGCAGGCACAACAATGGATGCAGAAAAAAAGAACTTGGTTATGTACACACCCAGGAAAAGCTCTTGAACCCTTTGTGTTGACGCTGGCAAGACAGTTTTATGACCCGTGAGGGATCTGAGCCCCGCGGATGTATAGCAATCAATAGCACTCGGCGTGAACGCAACAATAGGACCTGAGGCTCCCCGCTGCGCTTTTGTTATGTTGGCCATCACCAGGTAGGATCATACCCGCCACTCTGGCACTCACGCAGATAACTTCTTTTTGTTGTTGTCTAGGTTAACTATCAGCTCGGTTGTGTGATAAGTGCCTTGCCTGTCTAATTTTCTTTTCCGCTGGGTCATAAGTTTTACTTTGTTATATTTATACACTTTAACACTTCGTTCTTAATACAACATTAGATAACATAAATCACTTACCAAAATATTCCAAATACACTCTAGAGTGGACTCCCATAACGTCTAGCAGTAATGTACCACATCCAAAAGCAATGTAAGAACTTCTGAAAGTCCAGGATGCAGAATTCTTCATAGTGAACGTTCAGCTCATTGTAAACAAACCTCCGACCCCTGGCGGAATACAGGCTTAAATGATTTACGACTACATTCCACACGAACCAACCATACTTATCTTAACCATCCAAATGTAACTAAATAAACTAAGGAAGATTTTTTTTAGGTTAGGCATGATTAATTAGTTGAGGTTAGACTGGTTTGTAACTTCGTATCGTATGAAGTCATAAATTAGTTAAGCTAGTAGCTTCGTCGAATTTATGATTCTGCTCTCGGAAATCTATCCCTCCTCCTTGTCACAGGCCTGGCATTTGACATTATTAGGGACCTGCCACTCTTTGCCATAAACAGATAAAATGTACCGGGAACTTTCCCCCCACACACTCATCATTCTCTCACTTAATGTAACTTGACAGAACCTATGACCCTTCAGGCTTTTACGCCCTTAATGTACGAGTCATAAAGGCAAGTATGAACTTTTCATACTTCCCTGTTGGGCGCTGTAAACGCTTCTGCGCTTCACCTTGCACAGGATGTAAGGGGGTGCCCAATAAACTAGCCCCCTCGGGGGCAAATCTGAATCTGAATCTCTCGGAAATCTCCCCAAAGACTGAATCATCCCTAGAGTGAACGTGGGTTATTTTGTATTTAATTGTTTTTCTTCTTGTTTTATTAGGGATAAAATTTCCCTATAGTGGCAATAAATATGAGTAATAATAATAATAATAATAATATATTAACGCTAATAATAATAATAATAATAATAATAATAATAATTCACAATAATAATAATAGCCTACAGTATAACAGTTTGGCCAAGATGGTATAATCAAAGACTGTGTAATATTTATTATTTAATTCCCTGCATACCTCTAGTACTTAACTTACCTATGTACAGTATGTTCAAAACAGTGTAATATAAATAACTGGAGATATTTTAAAGAAATTCAAGACTATAATTGGCATGTCGGGTGAAAGGTACACATGGATGATGGAGAGAGAGAGAGAGAAGCATCCGGATATTAAAACTGAGATAAACAGAGATAGAGAGAGAGACATTACAAGTTAAAGCTGTAATGGTTTGTAAGAACCACACACTAAGCTTAATATCACAGTCACCGTACATCTCTACTACCTGATGGTTTAGTCAGCCTTCGCGCTATGTTAGTTTAAACATTTATTAACTCAAAAAACATTTTCAACACCGGTTAACAACAGGTTATAAGGCATAAATAAATATGAAGAAATTCAATCACTTAGCAATCTTTGTTGACATAATGACGTCATACAAGGTGAAGTGCAAGTCCGTGTTGTTGATTTGGTTGTGATTGGTCCTCGCTCTTTGGACCGAGCTACTATAGTTTTCCCATCTCATCAACTAGCGCTAAAGAATAACTGTAAATGGCGCCATGTTCTTATTATCATTGTTTCGATTGGTTCTTGTTTTTGACGTCATCATTATTATCCTCGGGAGCCTCTTCTTTGTTGGAGTTTAAGGTGCCCAGATTCTGACGTCATCGCTGCAGGATTTTTATCGGAAATAGTTCTCGGATCTAACGTCATCCTCCTATTGCTCTCTTGGGTTTTTGCTTTTTGATTCTAATTGGCGCTCGATCTTTGACATTACCCTTGGTTTATGCAATATGAAAGAGTATTGAAGGATGACGTCACTTTCGGCGTATCTTGATTGGTGGCTGGAAGATGACGTCACAGGGGGAAGTAAACATCTCAGTAACCAGTGTTGAGTGTAATACAGAAGGGAAAGCGGAAGAGGGGGATAATGGCAGGGGGAGAGGGAGGACAGAAGGGGTGAGAGAGAGTGAAGGGGGCTCGAACTGGCGTCCCCACTAAGCTCGGTGGCACCATTAAAGCTGTCGTACCTCATACACACTTTATACTAGTTTTGATAACACATTGTCTGGCAGGACCCCCCCTCCCCTACCCGGGCCTCACCCACCACATCTACACGGCATAGAGACGCTGTTGTAGGGACTCGGCACCAAGACGTGTTCTAAAGGTAGACTGCTCTTAGGTCAATGATCTATAAACAAGGCTCAAGTGGCACTACTCTACAGACACGCCTCTAGGCTAGTTCTTGGCACAGTGCTCTATCTAGGTGATGAGGGAGGGGCAGGGGGAAGGAGGATGCTAGTAGGGCGCCTCTAGCTAATCTGTCTTGTCACCTGCAGGCAACTAGTACTCATCTGCAGGTAACTAGTACTCACCTACAGGTAAGTAGTTTTCACTTACATGTAACTCGTACTCCCCTACATATAACTAGTACTCATCTACTGGTAAATTCTTTTCACCTACAGGTAACTAGTACTCCATACAAGTAACTACTGCACACCTAAAGGTAACTAGTACTCACCTGCAGGTAACTTGTACACACCTACAAGTAACTAGTATTCACCTACAGGTATTACTTCTCACCTAGCTTGTACCAGGAGAGTAGCTTTCATACCTCGCTAGTTCCTCACAATATTCCACCTTTCACTGCTACTTTACAGTGACACTCTCCTGTGTATTTTGAACAATGTATCACCTATTAGCTACATACACGACAGCTTCTTCACCATACACGGCTGAACAAGTGTCGTACAGTCTCCTGATTCTCGCTATTTTCCTTTTTTTTACCTTTTAAGTTCAAAATTTTTTTATCCTTAAGGCACATTTATTTTTCTTGTCTGTCAATCGCTTCATGACATCAATAATCAATTACATCAAATATCATGTGATCAATGACGTCAAATTAAATGCAATCACATTGTGTAATAAGTCATTAAGTGATCAGTGACCTCATTCATCACGTGATTTGGAGACAGCTGACCACTGATCTATTCATCTGTACTGAGTCGAGGAGGATACAAGGTTTCTTTCTGGTCATTTTGGTTTTCGTCTCGAACGTCATCCTCATGCAACATGACGTAGTTCTACTTTCACTGGGAACCAGTTCTCTTCCCGACACGCTCTGACACATGCATCACTCTCTCTAGACAAAATTTGGGCAGTAGTTAACAATTTCCTGTTCAACCTATATGTTTTCAAACATTTTCTTAAAGCGTTCCATAGTTGTTTTCCCGCAGTTTTTCATAATATGAATAAGAGTTTTCTTATTTAAAAATCGCACTGCATCAGTTGGACTTCACTTTTTCCTCAGTGTTATTGTTTCTGTCCATTGTGTTATTTTTTCACAAGTTATTCACTTAACAGGATGATAGTCATGCAGTTTGGCGAAAAGCATAAATAGTATATGTTTACTGACGCCCCCACGAGCTGTAAGGTTATAACTTGGTTCGTGGTGCTCCTTTGAGGAAGGATGACATGGTGGTGGGCGTGGCAGCCCTCTGAGGCGTGGTGAGGCGCGGCGTCATGGTACGGGAGGTGGGCGGAGTGGTCATGAAGGCAGCAGCCATTGTTCGTGGGGTGGGCGCCGTCATGAAAGCCGGCGCCATGTTGGTGGTCTGGATGAGGTGGAGCGCCAAGGCCTGCACGTCCGAGGCTGTAGCCACTTTCCCGCCAACGACACCTGGAAGGTTGGTACAACATTTTAGTAACGGTGCCACACATGTTCACAAACACAATAATGCAATTTTCCCTCAAATAACACCTGGAAGATTGACAGCAATACTATATTTATGAGAACAAACACATGTAAACACACTCTACATTACCAAATTTATTTTTAATCTACTTCTAATAATAGTAAGTAATTCTTCAATGAATCTTTCCAACACGACCTGGTAAGCTGGCAACACCGTAATTGCTATGGCTGGTGAACGCATGTAAGCAAACCCATACATAATTATGATAAGTGATTCATATGTTCATAATCGTATATTATTATACAATAATAGAGAAGTTGATGCCTCAGTGAGAAATTTTGTCGTTTTATTATCATATATTTAGTATGATTTACCCATCTGACAGCCAGGACTTAAATCACACTGACATTACCTGAACACAACAGCTTGTGCATGTCACAGCAACAGAATAGTGTGTTACAATACAGTAATGTAAATCAACTCATTTCACAGACAGCCTTAACAATATATAATTTGATACACGAGATTTCAAACTACACAGTAATAACCCAACTAAGTTCCTCTGATACACAAAATAAAACTACCCTATAAACATGGCCCAAACAGTTGACTTAATATCCATGTTATAAAACCCATCACCAGAAGAAACAGAGTACTGCCATCTCCTGACGTTTCTTACACCCATCAGAGACACCTAACCTAGCCTGACCTTAATGTTCCCTTGATCTTTTACCCGCAATTAAGGGTCTCACCTGCCAGGTCTGCCGGGACTCCCTTGGTAGAGAACTTGGCCAAGAGGGCAGTCTGAAGCTCACAGATGTACTGGTAGGCGGCGTCCACTACACCCACCTGAAGAACACCAACAAACAGT